TTAAAATAAATATCATAAAAAGCTGGTGAATGAAAAAGCCATACCTAGGTGCATTTAGGTAGAACTCTTCAAAATGTCTCTACAAGGTTCGCAATGTTTTTGTTTACTTACGAAAAGCTTACATTACATGACTAGATTTCTTGTTACAATTCACATCCTCATATTGTTTGATGAAAAATATTTTATCTTTTGGGTGATGGTGTTAACTCTTCCTATGGTATAAAAGAGGTAATGTCCAGCAACACATTTCCATAATTAACTGAGAAATACTTGTACTGTTCCATATTTTCCAGTTCTGGCAAAATCATTAGCCTAAATCAAATTGTTGGTTCCAGCTAAAGTTGACCCATTGAAGCAATGGGGTTTGCAAAAGTGTTAAGTTCATCTTTCAGTAAATATTATTATTATTATTATTATTATTGACACAAAAACACAGTATGTCATAGCAAACGAGATATATATGCTGGATTTCGTATCACCAAATCACAAGTCGAACACTTCCCAAGCGTCTAGGACTGTGTGATGTATTTTTGAATGATTCGTATTATTATTATTATTATTATTATTATTATTATTATTATTATTAATCCACCTCTCCTCTAGGCTGGACTTGAGGTACAATATAGACCGATCATTCAGGAGCTCTAATCCTGTTGGGAACAGACATTGTATTTAGGCCACTGACTTTACTGTTGACCACACAGATCTAAAATGAGGGGGTTAGCTATAACTTTTATTCAAAACACACTCTAAATTAAACATAAGGTAGGTTTGCTTTAGAAATGGTATAATTTATTAAAAACAACCCTTCATATGGAAGCAGGGAAGCTGAATAAAGTCCCTTCCCACTTTCTCCTCATTATAACTTTTCCCTTCCAGAGAGATCCCTGGATACCATTTCAAATAAGTATTTTATGAAGGAGATATTCAGAATTTAATTGAACCTCACTTAACTGTTTAAAACTTTAAAAAGGAGCTCTCAGCAAGAGCTCCAGGGAAAACAGGATTTTAATGAGGTGGAATTCCAGAATGAGGAGGATAAACAAAGATTCTTTGATTTTCCAAATCTCTTCTAATAGGATTTCTGCTTTAATTCCTCCTGTATGTTCTTATTTATAAAAATCGGGGATTACATAACTGGCAAACAATGCAGAATGAACACCCTTAATGGTGAGCCTACAGCCCTTGCTGATGACTTGGATTTCACAGACTGTCATTCTTCTGGAAGTGTTTGAGCTCGTGTCCTTGGCACGGTCCTTCTCTAATTTGCCCATTACTGGTAATGAGTTTTTCACAGACTCAGCTGTGAAGGATTTTTTTTTTTGCTTTTTCTTCTTCTTCTTTTTTAATGCAAGAGATTAAAATGCATGACCTCAAACACTGCCTTCCCCCATCTGGTTTTCTTCCAAAAAGTGGCTGAATTCAATCGGCTCTGTCATTAGGGGCACAATGCCACTCTTTCTTGGGCTTCAGAACAAATATAGTTATGTTCCTGGGAAAAATATGGAAAGAAAGAGCTAAGATCAGTCAAATACTGTGAAGAGAATAAAGAATTTAGAACTCAGGAAATGCTCTTGATTTCCTTCAAAAGGTGACTTGCCATGTAATGAGCAAGGAAGTCTCAAGGAATTTTAACCAGGGTGTCAAGACAGGAAATCTAATCAAAGACACCACACACAGGTTTCCTATTAATAATTCCATCATATGCCAAAATAACATGACCTTGGTTGGCATAAGGACTCTCCTTCTGGATCAGATTTCTGTCCTCCTTTTCTTTTATATCTAAAAGAAGCCAAATTAAGAAACCTTGAGAGTAAGATTAGAAGAATAGTGTAGCACACTGCTCTGATCACAGTGATCACAGAAGAGCAGTCAATGGAGTGCTCATCATGGGGAAAAAAACATGAATTCCTTCTGGATTGAAGACTGATGTGGGAGGGGGATTATTCCCTTGTAGATTCATTAATACAGATCCTAGAAGTATCTATTCACATGGTTATTTGTAATTACTTCCTCAGTAACTGAAGTCTATCTACATCACATTGTCATTATTACTTGATGGGGAATAACTTAACTCATGTTGTGGTGTAACAACAATATCCAGGTAACTTTTACAGTTACAGGAGTTGGACCCATTAATGGTGGAGGAAGGGGTGAAATACATTATTTGTGTGTTGTCCTGTGCGGTTTCCTTATATCATTTTGGAGATACCAAAGTGATGGCAAAGGCTGAAGACTTCCAGCACTGAAAGGAAAACAGTTTCAGCTCATTTTGTTGGGAATGATGTAATAAGGCCATCCTCCGCTGCCTCTACTAAGTATTCAAATATGGAACTCTGATGAGGTACAGCAGTTTTTTCTACAACCAAAGATCTGAGGAATTTCTGAGGGTCCTGATCTTCTAGCCCATCAGCTGTGTCAACATGGGGCTGGGATAGCTGAAATTTTAAAACGATCCCACCCTATATTTTATTCTGTCCTGCTCTGTTATTAGCATTGAGCCATCATGTCAAATCTAATTTATAGAATCCCCATAAATGACAGATCTCCAAGATGTGCTGTTACTAACAGTCCTAATATAAAATTTAGGACCGTATCTTTCTTGGTGGAATATAGCTACCTGTAATGTGTTTTCCTCTATTCCTATTGACATCAATTTTACTGAGAGCATTACCAATATAGGTCTTCTCCTACTTGACCTTATTGTGAATTGCTCTGCTCAGAGTTTCCATGACAGCAGGCACTTAACCTGCCAGGTTAATGTATTTTATTGGTATACACCATGTTTTTTAATCTCCATCTGCTGTTGTGTCTTTGGGTGGATTTCACTCCCCACTCTTTTCTTGTTTCACTAATTTTTAAGACATGGGGAACAGGGTAATTTTTAAACTGATGCAGACTATCCTTTTTCCAGTCTATGGTTGGCGTCCTCTGAAAATAGGCAAGAAATGAATATTGATGTCAAAATGTACTCTCAATGATGGAACGATCATTGAAAGCTACATCGCCTTCAATCCCCATGACAAAGGAGAGAAACTGTGTGATCAATTCATGTAGGGATCAGTACATATGGGAACTGTTTGATGGATATTCACATCTCTGTTTGAAAACATCCGTTCTTTCCATCCTGTTTATGAGGGCAAAAGGTTTATATGATGTGAAGAGAAACCAAACTTTCTAAGTTAAGCACACAAAGTCCTTTGCCTGGCTCAATGAATCTGTCAATTTTGCTTTCTCCTCCATTCATTTCCTTCACCCCTAGTTCTTTCTAGGAAATTTATTCTTAAAAAAAAAACCCTAACCAAACAAAGTTCTCATCCATTTCTCCTTGAATTATGGTACCTCCTTTTCCTGATATGATATATCACACCTCCAAAAGAGCATTAAACTCTTCTGACAGCAGTACAAAAACCTTCTGTTTTGGGGATGGGGGGGGTTAGTTTTTATTTAATGAAAACTCCTCTCGAGCATTTGTAAAGCACTTAATGTCTAGAAGAATCATGGCTCCCAGGAGCATGCAGTGCATTTCCCTGTTCTCGTAGCAGCTCCCATTTTTTGACCTACCACTTCCTTCTCATTTTCTCCTTGTTGTCATTTGTGGGATCAAGAGTCATACTAGTGAGAACACGTATAAAAAGTAACTTTCATTACAAAGCTAAAATTTGTCCCCTTTCTAATGTGTTCTGCCAGAAAACCATCAGAATTTCATTTAAAGGAAAGCTGCATAGGTATAGACTCATAATGTTTGGAGAACTCATAAGGGTCATCCACTCTAGAACAGAATCTGTGCTTTTCTGGGTGTTATTAGACTGCAATTCCCATGTTGGCTGGATCTAATGGGAGATGGAATCCAACAACTTATGGAAAGCCATAGGTTCCCCACTCCTGCTCCAGTGTATCTTCCTAACAATACAGAACTCTACTAGTATAACACCACAACAGGCTGTCAAACAGATTTGACTTAATAGCAGTAGGAAAGGAAGATTCCACAGCTTCCACTGGTTAACAGCAAATTATTCAGTCATACATTATCATGAAGCAACTCAAGACCACTGTAATCCGTGAATTCACCCCCATTTAACTAGTAATCTAATCACAATACAAATATAGTAATATAATACACTATTAACTTATATGGGGTGATATAATTCAACAAGCAACATAAATGACTGGGGCTAATGAAAGTTGGAGTTCAACAATTTCCTAAAAAGTTTCTTGAAGCCACATTGTTGCAGCCCACTAATAAAATGCCTATACCACAGAAAGAAGAAATTCCAAGGCTAGAGAGTGCCAAACCTTTAGTAAAGAAATTACCTACTGACAGAATCAAAGTTATCTGGCATCTTCAAAACTTAAGAGCAGGACAAAAGTAAGAGAGGAACCATATTTTCTTCCTTTCCATTTGTTAAAAAATTGAATTTTTTAAACAAATTTTCCTGGCATAAAACTGATAAGAGGTAGTGGAAAGGAGCAGTCATAGCCCATGGCCCACACACTCCAAGCTTCCCTTGGCCAACACTTGCAATGTGCCCACTTTCCCCTTCTCCTCATATTGCAGAATTGTGGGAAATGGCACTTTCCATGGGGCACAGATAGCAATAATCTCCCAGGTCAGATATCTTTTTCCAGCCTCAGATCTGACCTATCTTAAGTTTCCCAGAGGCCTCAGGATGGCAAACTACATTAAATTAGAGTAGCCCTTACTGAACATATGCCCAGGATGGAGAACATGATTCTTATTTTGCCAGTTCTCCTACAAATGTTTCTTTCCCACCAGAAGGAAGGTTTCATCTTTCTTAGCTCGTTGATAAATAGGAAACTTTTTAAAAAGGAAAGCTTTTGATTATTACTAGCTACCAGATACTTTTCTTTTGTGTCTGTATCTTTTCTTTAACCTACAGTAGCAGGAGAGAGGGTGAAATCCTTCATTTCATAGAAGCAAATTGCTGGGAAAAATAAAAAGTGGTGCCCCTATCTGTTAAAAATCTGTTTGCTCTTACCCAGGACATAAATCTCATTGTTGACTACAGCTGTGCTGAAGCGGTATTTCGAGTACTTCATCGGAGCGCGTTCGGTCCATTTGTCATGGCTTGGGTCATACTGCAACATTTTGTTGCTTAATCGATCGGGCTCATCGTCAGGAAGATCCATCTGTATGAAATATGACAGCCATATAATAATACAACATTTGGAACCCTCCGTGCAGGCCTGTGTGCTATTAATCATGCAAGACAGCCAAGCAGATAAATAACATAAACACATCAATTATAGCTGTGAAGTGATTCATACTTACTAGGTTTTAACAGCGCCCATGACTTGTGGCTGGGAAGTATATTGTGGAAGGCACATGAATAATGACGCATTTATATTCTGCAAAGAGGGAGCTGAGAATTTGGGTAATAACAAACCATCTAGGGACACAACCATGACAGAACATAGCTCTTCTTACAAGGCCACTGCAAAGTCTCAAGAAGAAAGCAAAGATCTCTTATTTCCCCCCAAGAGATAGTGAATTTTGATTTAGTATTTGGATAGTTCCCACACTACCAGAGGAACTTTGCCTAAAAAATTTCTCTGGGGGTTTGGGGAATCACTTGAGAATGAAATAATTCAAAAACAAATGTATGCACATAATTTTTCATTGTGCATAGAGTTTGGACATGCTTATCCTTGGCACATCCTCCTCAACTTTTGCATGCACTCCTGCTCATTCATCTCTCTGTGGTCTGAAATGGTTCAGAAGAAACAGGCATTCACTAGGTCAGTGATTTTCAGCCTATGACTCTCCTCATGTTTGGACTTCAGCTCCCCAAATTTCTCCATATTCGTTGTGCTGGCTGGAGATTCTGGGAGCTAAAGGATAGTGATATACAGACCAACAATGCAAACAAAAGAGAATGACTACTGAAGTTTCAAAATCTCATTTAAACTCATTCTTAGGTAAGCCATTTAATCTTTGCCTTCCACGTATTATACCATTATAATCATGCCAAAGACTGTACAATTACGGTAACATATTATTTTGGAAGTTGTTGCCATCTAAAAATATAAATCAATAGATCCTAGAGCAAATCAAATTTGAGAAGTCAAGATGATTAAATTGAGACTGTTGGCCATATCATGAGAAGACATGACTCTCTAGAAAAGAAAATAATGCTTAGAAGGGTGGGAGGCAATAGGAAAAGAAGACAACTGTATTCCAGTTGGATCTACTCAATTTAAAAATCTACAACTCCGAATCTGCAAGACCTTAGCAGGACTGTTCATGAAAACATGAGATGTCTCTCATTCATAAGGTTGCCATAAATCAAAATCAACTTGAGGCCTGTTTACAACAACAAAATCAGCTTTGCAAAGAGTGTATTGGTCTGAAGTCCAGATTTTATTTTACTGCATTTACATAATCTTGAGACACTTTTTATTTAGCTGCACTCTTGTGCAGTAAGAACTGTTATCTAACGTTTTGGAATATACCAAAGTAATAATGAACATAAGCTGCCACTATTCAAAATCTATATTCAGAAGGCATATTCACCACATAAAATCAACATGGTGGTTTTAATAAGGTGAAAGCCAGACCTTTGTTTAGCAATAGTCTGACTGAAAGACAAAGTAGATAGAGAATATTGTGACCCGTGCTATCAGATTGTGCAAAAAAAAAAAAAGAGCTTAAACAACATTTGCAACATAGCTAGTTGGACACAAACAATCAGTACCAGCAACATAGCTAGTTGGACACAAACAATTTGGCTGTCCTTTATTTGAAGTTAGCATGGAAAATATATGGTGGATATACAGTACTGGTTCCAGACATGTAAATAATAGATGTCTGATACTCTGAAAGACAACTTTAAAACAACATATTGGGAGCCAGATTTTGAGGGACTGGACTGTTTTTGCTATAGAACCAGTACTGTTTTTGTGTTTTCCTTTTGTTATTTGTTCAGTTTATATATGCACAGGAAACCATGTCACTATAGCTTGAAGAGCTTTCCTTTCTGAGGCATTGCATCCAAAATGTTTGGAATGTCACATGTGTTGTGTACATGAAACAGTATAATATTCTTCTATGCAATTTCATATGTCCAAAAGATGCACTTTTACCAAAAAATACTATTCTTAAAAATCAATCTTATTATCCTTTTATTTGCTACTTCACCCCTTAAAGGCTTCTTGAATACAATGATATGTATTTACCGCTTAACTGAACAAAGATTTAAAATATTTGCTGAGATTCAGATTTTGTACAATTGTAAGACTGCAAGTTGTCCTTCTTGTGTAGATTAATATATTGCATGACAGTTGAATACTTTGAACATTCTTAGCCCATGTGTCCTGCCTTTTATATGAAGGAAAAGCAAGAACTATACAACACTATGATATTAATCTAGGACCTTACCACACAAGGCTCTATAAATGGGTCCTGGCATTGCAAATCTGGGGTGTGCTAGGATAGTAACTGATGTTATTGCCCCAATCCATTCCTTAAGCGCTTTCAAGAAATCTAAAAGCACTTTTAGCTTGCCACATCTGCTGGGACTTCTTCTCCTAATTCATGCATTGCCCCTTTTCGTCCATGCTCTCTAGGAGACAGATGCATTTGAAGACACTTTGAACACCAATTGAAAATGCTTTCAGCTGCCTAAAAACAGGTTTACCCTATTTATTGAAGAGCATTACTTCAGGATGTGTTGACACTGGTTTGGAGTGTGATGACAGGCACTTCTGTTCATAGCCAGGAAGTTTCAAATGTGAACTACAAACCTCATGGAGAAAAGCCTATATTTAATGTGCACAAATAGCGATCCAATTCCTTGTGTTCATTACATTTTGAATTTTTAGCTATAACCTATTGTAACCTGAATGCACAAGATCAAGTTGGATCTTGGTTGTCATGGCAGACATCAAGTTCTGAGCCACTCCCAACAACCAGCTTCATCATGGATGTTGAATTCCTCAGGTATCTCAAGCAAAGGAGACTCCAATATTGCTCCTAAGGCAACCATGAATAACTCAAAAAGAAAGGCTCTTGGGCAGCCGAGTAGCTGGTACACCAACAGAATCACTAATCTATCCTGCTTATCTGAAATGTCTAGCATTTCTAACTTAGCCTCTAAGGTGGTGCACATTGGAAGTGAAGCTCCTGACTACCACTAAACCACCTACTTCACTTCCTCCAAAGAAAATTCCAAAGGAATTTAAGACAAAATATAAAAGAGGGAAAATAATCCCAATATCAACATTGCATCTGTTTACACAGATGAGCACGTACAGCTTGAATTCAAGGAAACTGTGGGCACAAGAAATATCATTGGAGCTTACTTTGCTTTTTTTGCTCTTGATTACACTCGATACAAGATCAGATTGGGACAAAACAAGAAAAAAAATCAAAATCAAATGCTGCCAAACATGCTTTGGATGACCTACTGGAGCTGGAAGAGGCAAATCTAAAAGCTCTAGAAAACTCAGGTTCTCCCGATAAGTATCTTTCAGATACTGCAATTGTATCTGAACCTCAGATTATAGTAGAATCTAACCACATTTCCCATAGTCTTTATGAAGGTTAGCATCTTGGAGATAGGATTTTTTTTCAAGTTGTCAACAATTTGATTGCTAAATATCGAGTACCAGAATTGATGCAGTTCACTGGCTACTTTCATACTTGAATGAGCTAGGTAACATGAAGTGACAGCTATTGGACAGGTGGATTCAACTATAGTGAGCGATGAGAGAATATTACATGACACTCATGTTATTGCTAGGAGTTCTGTACTTAGGTGTTTTTATAGACAACTTTTGCTCTAATAGAGTTTAAATCCAGCTATAATGGAAAAATCCATATTTTGCATTGAATCAATAGCAAACGTGTTTGCATTAAAGCCAGATGTAAATATATATCTCTATAACCATCAGTAGCCAAATGGATCAGCTCAAACAAAATTAGTGCTACATCTCAATCAGAGTTCTGCATCTGCATTTGAAAATGCTGAAGAATTATGTCTTCATGTTCCTGTTAAAGACAAGATTTATCTCATAATCTATTGTCCTGCTGAAATTGCCAGAGTAAGCAGCATGTCTGCCAGTGATAAGTTAACAGGATGAGAAGTGCTGGGTCTTCAGGGAACTTTGCTGAGTCACTTTATTCATTCAGTTTATATTAGTGTGATCATTGTTCAAGATGTAATGATACACAAGGACTGGAAATAGCCACAAGTGGAGATGATGCATTCGTTTCCCAATTTCCCATATTGTGCTTGGTGAATAGCCATCACACTAGTTGGTAGCTGCTGCTTATCTTATACAAATAGATTTGGAATGTTGATCTCTAATCTTAAATTGATCCCAAGGAGGCATATCCAGAGTACCAGAATTACCAGAGTGCCATCCAGAGTACCATGGGAAATACAATGGGAAAATCACAAAAAAAAAAATTACCCATCAAAAGTGATATTTCAATAGCAAATCACCTTTGCAAATTTGAAATGTTGTTTCCACATACTAGTGAAAGAATCAGAGAGATTATTTACTCAAGGCAGGAACATACTGTAAAGCAAAGATTATGGTTAAATCTTATCAGGAGCTAAACAATTGATCCAGCAGCTCTGTCATCTATTGAGATGATTTTTCTCTGAATAGATTTTTTATTGATTAGTAATTGTAGGTAATTGCAGTTCAGTGTCAACTATGAGATGGAAATTGGGCTTAAACATTATCCTACTTATTAAAATACGTTATTTCTGAAACTTGCTAGTGTTAGGTTACTGTAGAGGTAATGCAGTTTGACACTACTTTAATGGCCACTGCAGTGCTATGGAATCATTGGAAATGTAGTTTCATAATGCATCTGTACTATTTGGGAGATAAGGTTAAAGACCTTGTAAAACTATAAGTCCTATGATTCCACAGCATTGAACCATGGCAGTTAAAGTGATGTAAAACTGCATTAAATTGTAGCATAGATGCCCTAAAGCTAACTGGAATTTAAAGTAGTTATATTATACTTTTGTTATAGTGTGTCATAATAAGTAATTAAGTGGGGAATTGTGTGATTGATAATGTTGCTGTGGTTGGTACTGTATCATGTAATGAAAATGTAAACTACAGCGTTGTTGTAGGGTTTTTTTGGGATTATATGGCCATGTTCTAGAGGCATTCTCTTCTGACGTTTCGCCTGCCTCTATGGCAAGCATGATGCCTGCCATAGATGCAGGCGAAACATCAGGAGAGAATACCTCTAGAACATGGCCATATAGCTCTAAAAAACCTACAACAAAAACCTACGTTTTTGTGTGGTGTTTCAGCAGAAATGTATTATTTTATTATTATTGTCGAATTATCTGATATTTTAGCTCCAATACTGTAGTATGGTGGTATGGTTTATTATGGGAGGAGGTCCCCAAAGATGCACTATGAGTTACTGTACGAGATGACACCAACCCTAGTGACGAGACTGGTGCAGATAATATAGCTGGAGTGCCCCATATGTATCTAACCTGCTTCAGAAAAATCCTTACCTGTGGTGTCCAGCCTCCCATTACGTACAGCCTGTTTTTCACTGTTACTGCAGCTGGGCAGGCTAACGGCACAGGGAGAGGAGCCAAAGTTCTCCAGTTATCTTCCTCCATGGAGTATCTCTCCACAATGTTTGTGATATGGTATTGGTTTTTCAGCTTCATTTGACCTCCTATGATATATAAGTCATTGTGGATGCTGCCTAGAGCATAGAGCTCACGGAACTGACCACTACACAGTCTTTGCCAAAACTGATTTCCCTGACCGTTGTACCTGTAAAAAAAGGCTGAAGTTAGAAGTGTCATGGTCACAGATTAAATCATGTATATTTGCATTAAATACCAGATAATATCAAAATGGTCAAAAAAGGAATTTAATTTTTAACAAACGTTACAGATTTGCAGATTGTATACTGAGATGGTCCATGGTGTATGCATCTCTCTGTGTGAATATCTAATATACATCTTAATGGAAGGATGAGTAACTGTGGTCTTCTGGACATTTCTGGACTACATAAGGCCTTATTGTTGGCTATGCTGACTAGGTTTGAGGGGAGCTGCTGACCACTTACATTTGGAGGATCCAAGTTGTATACTGCTGGTATAAAGGCACATACCTCTTTGTGTGATGTGTTTGGAATGCACATCAGACATAAACAGGACAGGAAGTTAAAAACCATTTTAGAAAGGATTTTTTAAAAAATTCTAATGTGGTCTTGCATCTAACTGCATCTCGTTTCATTGTACTTAGGGTTATCAGGTCATCTGCATCTCAGTCTTGAGATTTCAGACCCCAAATCTGAGACTTGAGGTTGGTCCTTGTATTGCCCCAAACACGGAACAGGCAATACTTGTGAGACAGGATGGAAATCTTCCTGGGTCAACTGATTGTTGAAATGGACAGGAGAGCACTGGGCCCAAATTTGGGTAAAATCAAGCTACTAAGATAACCCACGGCCAAGGCAAGGGAAGGAGATCAACGGATGTTAATGGCCAGGGAGGAGACAAAAATATGCTCAACATTTCCAGTAATTGCTGTCATTTCCTCTACGGATTGATCCCCATATGTCCTTGGCAGTATGTGGAGAGTTTTTCTAGGCCATATGCTGATATTACTGGGGCTTGTGTGAAGCTTACAGCTTATTCTTGGGGAGTACTTCTACACAGACACTGTGCCACTCCTGCTAGGGCTTGCACAACAAGAAGGATAAAACATAGGTACTTCATTGATCCAAAAGGTATGATGAGCCCAAATGCATGCATCTATTGTCTCTCATCCACTCTACTCACCTCATCCCAACTTTTGGTGCATCCGTTTTTGCAGAAGCATAATATGGATATAAACTGATTTTCACTGAGCCAGAGAGCCCTGGAGTGAGCTAAGAATGAGATGGATGTCCAGATCCTAAGGCTACTTCACATTCAAAAAAGATAACTTTATCTAGTGCTGCCTGCCCTGAAACTTGTGTGTGCTTGCAAAACCAGCAGTTCCTTGGTTGGAGCCTTGAGATCTAGCAACTATGTTATATTTAAAGTATCTTATCCTTATAGTCACGCTTTTTAAAACCAAAACTAACTTCTAGTTGCTAGAATTAAAAAAAAAACGATGAGAGATAAAGGACAAGGGAAAGCACCTCTGGATATCTTGAGAAATACTAAGAATATACCCACTATTAGGAGGGTCAGGTGATGTCACTGAGGAGGAAAAAATTATGTTATAGTAGCATGCTACTTCCACATATTCAACATATTCTTACAGCCCAATCTTAATCAGGATTACTTAAAATGAGTTGCCCTTGGGTTAATGAGATTTACCCTCAGGACTGCAGCCTCAAGCTTTTCTTATTGAAAATCTTGTGAGGCATTTTACCAGTAACACTACAAACAAGCTACGAGGATGCAGGATTTAAAAGATACATTTTGCAATGCTTTCAATAAATTAAGAACAATGCAGCAAGGGAAAATGTGTGTCCTATCAAATCACAGGTGGCACATAGAGGGCACTCTAACCCTTCCCATTGTGTTATCAAGCTAACTATTATTTAGCCTACAACCTGAAAAACACCACTTTAGCAGTTGTTATTCTATCTGCATATTACATATTTCACATTAAATACTGTATACTGTAGATGCCGTGGGAACCTCTGCTTCCATCTAACCAATGAGAAACCTACTATAATAGCATTCCTCCCTTTGAATATTTTGGGGTATGTCTTCCAAAATACCTGGCCATTGGCTGAGTCTTGTGAGGTCAGTAACTGGTTGGGGAAGGTGAATGTAGCAGTATAACAAATATAGATATATGCCTTCATAAAGGTTTGATAGTTATTGTTGATCTCCCTAGGCATCACAAGCATGGTATCAAATTAGACACATAATTAAATTTATTTATTTATTTACTATATTTGTATACCGCTCTTCTCAGTCTTTCAGGCGATTCATTTATCCAAAAATTGTAATGAATTCACTTACAAATATACTATGAAATAGCCTGATGTAGTCTTTATAACTAGGCAAAACATTACAGGGTAATAGGTATAGGCTTAAGTCACATAGCATTAAATAATTACAGGACACTGACCTTTCCATTTTCTCACATCTATCATCTATCTATCTATCTATCTATCTATCTATCTATCTATCTATCATCTGTTCATCCATCCATCCACCCATCTACCCATCCATCTGTCCGTCCATCCCCTTTTTCTTTCTATTCATCCATCCATCTATCATCCATCCATCTATCATCCATTCATCCTTTGCATTTGGAGAGGGAGAGAGCATTCTATTTTTGTCCTTCATGCAAGAAGATACAAACCTATAAATTTCAATATTCCTGGTCTTTTGTCTAGATAGTTTGGCAGCACTTGCCTCCCCGGCCAGAATGATATCATTATTCTCATTAACCACACCGGTGCATACACATCCCAGGCCTTCTCCATATTTTGGAGAGGAAATGAAGTAGGTCTTACGTGTTGCAGGAGCATAGCAGAAGCTGGCATCAGCATAGCTGCCATGCCTTGATCTGATGCCTTGTGAATTGTTACCAATACAAAGCAGAAGAGTTGTAGTCTCCATGCCATAGCGGAGGCTGAAATTTGGTAGGTTGGACTTCTTGATCATTTCTAATGCTCCATCAATCATCTCAGTGCATTGTGAATTACTCAAAAGTACCGTGTTCCTCTTTCGAGCTTCTACCAGGAAGGAGGGGCTGACAAGTGTCAGCCTTACTTGCTTCAGGAGCTCCAAGAGGTGATCCCCACGCAACTTCCTGCTATGCTTAACCCATCGGAGGACTAAGTCCAAAATACTGTCTTCTCTAGAAACATTCAGATCATCTGATCGGATCAGGCTTAGCAATTGCTGGGCTTCAACCTCTAATATTTCATCCTGCAAGCTCACTTCTGCAAAGTGCTGATACAAGTACTTCCTTGCTTGATCGGACAGTTCTTCAGCCCCTATGTGCTTTGCAAAGTAATAAATCCCTACACAGTTTGAAGTGTCCATGTGGTTCATCATGTATGCCTGGCATAACTGGAAAACATCTTCCATCTGCATGAAAAAAGCAGTAATGGCCACACTCTGCACATTGCTATTACTCAGGTGGAGCTCAGCCGTGTACATGTAGTGTAGAAGTACAGACACACTTTCTGCTGACATGTCATGAAGGGCCACTTCTTTCTGTGTGCATTCAATCAAGCCACAGGTAAACATCGCTTTAAAATAGGGGCTGAAAGCAGCCAGCATCAGTCTATGGCAAGGGAACTTTTCATCTTCAGCCACTAAGACCACATCAGTCATTTCTGTTAACTCCTTCATGTTTTTGACTTGATTCAGTAAATTCAAGCCATGTTGTTGCCTCCTTTTGCCCTCAGCCATGTAATCCATTGTGTTGCAGATTTTAGGATCTTCCTCTGGGTTTGTTTATGTTTTAAAAAGTTTTGATCTCTACGTCAGAGAGCTCTCACACGGAGAAGCCTTCATTTCTCTGTTCCTGGATGGAGAGAAAGAGAAACATATAAACAGTCTATACATGCTTTGAAATATTTGGACAACCAATCTATTTTATAGCCTAGAAGCAGTAAATACTAGTATGAGAGGGAAAAAAATGGTAATATATCCCATCTTAAGCAAATACAGTATAGCCTTTTCATTCTCAAAGCTGACAACCTCTCTTGATTTTGGGGATGGAATAAATTTTAGATCCCAGAGCTGGTTTATTTTTAATGACTCATATAATTTTCATTATTAACATAAACAGGATATCTTATTGTTTGAATCCAAATGTAAAGTAGTTCTAGTGTGATGAACATTCAGAACTCATGGAATGGACACCAACCAGCATACACATTTTGATTCTAATAGACTTTAAAGACAAACCCTGAAATCTTCATTCATCAAAGTCATACATCTTTGGAAAACATTCCTTTATCTGTGAATCCAAGTTCACTTAGGGCCCTTCCAGATAGGCCCTATATCCAAGGACTTGATCCCAGGTTTTCTGTTTATCCCAGATTATCTGGCAGTGCGGACTAATATAATCCAGTTTAAAGAAGAAAACCTGGAATCAGATCCTGGGATATAAGGCCTGTCTGGAAGGGTCCTTAGACATTAAATGATGCAGCAACATTAGTCTGATATCCAGTCATAAGAGAAAAGTCAACTAACTGAACTTGGCCAATTCTGCAGCTTACAGGAAGCAGTCTAAAAGCTCTGCATCAGATCTTGGAAGCTATTAGTTGCAAATAAAAACTTGGAAATCATTCACTTTCCCAAAATCATTAAGTCAAAACAATTACAATTACAACATTCCTATTTGATATAACCCTAACTACTTTAAATTACTTTTATAGTTACAGAGTGGGTGTAGCTTCACTCTTAAGGTATATTTTGAACTATAGGTCTTTGGCTTGTGGGATTCTATGTTATCTCTCGTCCTAAAAGTAACATGGGGCTTGTCCCCATATAAACTGCCCAGAGTCCCTTCGGGGAGATGGTGGTGGGATACAAAAATAAAGTTGTTGTTATTAGTATTTATTAACTATTTTAATTGTTTCTGAATAACAGGAAAGGAAAGTGCTACATATATATATATATATTTGTAAAAAAGCAACCTCTCAATTTCTGCTACAGGGCACAGGCAAAGGTCGAGTGCTAGTATTTATGGGAGGCAACCAGTCTAAATGCTTGTGTTATGCCTTTCTGCAAGAAAATGCTTCCCTTTAATGTGACTGTCTTTTCAGTAATAGAAAGACAGTTATTAGATTTTTTTCCCCCAGAGATCAAATCCTAGATACAAATTGCAAAAGAGCTATTAATACCTAGAAATAAGACTCCCACTGAGATAACATTTTGATAATATTTTGCATTAGACATTCTCATCTGAAAGAGCTTCCTAGGTAGAAATGACAATTTAACAGCTCAAGGAAGAAAATGAAAAGAGGGGAAGGACAGAAATAACTCATTTTCCTTCATCATCTCATTGTTATGAACTAATTACACACCCAATGAGGGAGAAAGAATAGAAATGCAGAACTGAGCATCCATAAACCACACTATTGTATTCCTATACATGAAGGTTGCCATGGGAGCCAAAACACAAGCAAAGATGTGAGTGAGATGGCAGTCACTGAGCCAAACCCAGTTTGTAGATGGTAGGTGCCCTTGGTTTATGCTAGTCCAGTATGGCTCCTTCCCTCAATGCTCTTGGTAAGAGGCAGCCCAAAATTGTGCTTGTCCACCTGCAGAGAGAAATTGCTCCCTGAAGTTCACTTCCTAAAATTGCTTTCTGTTTATGTCCTTATTTACATTATAAATACATCATATTGGGGGGAAATGGGAAGAGGAAGGAGAATCATAATACAGTGGGCCCTCTGTATCTGCTGTGGTTTGGTTTCAGGGCTGCCCATGGATACCAAAATCTGTGGGTACTCAAGTTCCATGATATACAATTGCACAGTAAAATGGTGTTCCTTATATAAAACAGCACTGGATAATGGAATCCATGGATATGTAGGACTATCTATTATAAACTGTTACTGAATAATACACTAGAGGGAGGTATTGTTGTTGCTGTTATCTGCAATCAAATTGACTTTGACCTATGGCAAACCTATGAATGAGAGACCTGCAAGCCACCCTGCCATCAGTTGCCTTATAAATTCAGGGCCATGGCCTCCTTCATTGAGTCAATGGATCTGTAATGTAGTCTTTCTCTTTTTTCTACTGCTTTTACCATTCCAAGCATTATTGTCTTTTCTAGAGTTGTCTTTTCTCATGATATGGACAAAGTATGACAGTCTCCATTTACTTATTGTGTTTTCTAGGTAGAAATTATACTTGATTTGATCTAGGAACCACTTATTCATATTTTTAGTATTTTGAAGTATGTATAGACAGGGGCGGCTCAACCATTAAGCAAAGTAAGCATTTGCAGTGTAGTTGATTTTGCCCAGGGGCACTCTTGGGGGAAAATAGACCTTGACATATGCGAGTTGTAGTTACTGGGATGTATAGTTCACCTACAATCAAAGAGCATGGCTCACAGAACTCCCATGACGAACAGAAAATATGTATCAGTGATTGGTTGGGGGGGAGGGCAAAATACTGTTTGCTTACTGTTGAAAATTATCTAGGGCCACCTCTGTGTGTAGACATATATTAGATTAAAATTATTAGATTAAAATTAAGGGCCTTTCCACACAGCCCTATGTCCCAGAAAATCAAGCAGAAAATCCCACATTATCTGAATGGTTTGGGACCCACCTACCTTCATGACTGTATTTCCTCCTATGTACCTGCATGACCCCTTTAATCCTCTCGCTTCTCCCGCCTCTCGCTTCTCCCGCCGTCACAAGTATGACTTGTGGGGACAAGGGAGAGGGCCTTCTCTGTGTTCGCCCCGCAGCTTTGGAATTCGCTACCTGGAGAGATTAGGCAAGCACCCACTCTGACAGCCTTCAGGAAGAGTTTAAAAACCTGGCTGTTTCGGTGTGCCTTTGATGAATTAATACAATCCCCACATCAGGACCAGCTTAGCACAGTATGCCTGGTAATGCATTTTATCTCATCCTTTAGTGATGCTCACCTCATTGCTTGTTCCTATCTGAAACCCCAAACTAGGCATTACCCTACTCATCCATTGCACCCAGGGTTTTTTATATTTTATATTATATTTTATTCTACCCCTTTTTAATTTGGCCCAGTCCACTGTGCACATTTTTTCCTTCTTCTATTTGTTTCCTGTATTTTGATTTTGTATTAATTTGTCTGTTCACTTTTCATTTGATGTTATTATTTGCTGTATGTATTTTATTTGATTTGATGTGATTGTTCGGGCTTGGCCCCATGTTAGCCGCCCTGAGTCCCCGTTGGGGAGATGGTGGTGGGGTATAAATAAAGTATTATTATTATTATTATTACCTAGTTCAAAGCATATATTGTGGGATTTTCTGCCTTGATATTGTGGGATATAGGATTGTGTGGAAGGGCCCTAAAACTGAAGCTTGGAAGGAGTCCTAAAGAAAAGGCTTCTCTGGGCCCTTCCACACAGGGAAGGGCCCAGAATATCAAGGCAGAAAATCCCAGAATATCATATAACCCAGAATATCAAGGCAGAAAATCCCACAATATCTGCTTTGGACTGGGCTATTTGAATCCACACTGCCATATATTCCAGTTCAAAGCAGATAATGTGGGATTTTATTCAGCTGTGTGGAAGGGGTCTCTGTTCTCATTGCTAGTATAACTCTTTGAACCTTCATAGATCCTAAGGAGGAAGAGAAACCCAGAGTTCAGAGAATCCTAGAATTAAATTGGAAATATGATCTCAGGACGTTGTCCCACGCAGTCCGCTCCCCCCACTAACAATTCCCTGACAAAGCATCACAGAGACCATCAAACAACACATCCAGACTTCTGCCTGTCGACCCAGGATGCGTTGTTAGGGAACTGTTTTAGAAGTGTTTGGGGGGGGGGGGGGGGGGGGGGGGGGGGGGGGGAGAGACAGGCCATGGGAAGAAACTGGCTCCTGAATCCATGATTTAAGTGGAAAGCAGGGAAAAAACACGTAGGATGGAATCTGTCAAATTTGCCTGTGTTGAATCACTTCAGTGACGTGGAGTAATAGGCGGTCTCCTACCAAGCATTGACATTTCTCTTCCAAAATCCTGTATTGTAAGTGTGGCATGGTAATTTTAATAATTTATTTAATAATTAAAAATACCGACATTTCAAGATATCACCACTTAGTTTTCCCAGTAATTTCTCCTTCAAAGTAATCTTGGCTTTCAAAATTGCGCTACTGCTAGATTTTTGACTTTGTTTTGGACTTCCATGATTGAGAGTAATGAGACTGGGATGACAGAGAACAGCCCAGACCAAGGGGGGGGGGGTCTGCCTCCTGTCTCCTCTAGAGTAACAGGATTAGAGGGGAAAGTCAAGTACCTCAAAAGCTTTTTGCAAGGTTTTTTTTTTTTAAAAAAAATGGAATAAGCAGGAACTGGGTGAGATAAATCTGAAAATGAAATCTGTAAAGTCCTCAGTGGAGGCTAGAAATGGAAATAGTTTGGAATGATATAAATCAGATATTGTTGTTGTTATCATGCCTACGGGGATTGTCATGGCTACTGCAATTTTTAAGAGTCAGTTTATAGGATAAATTTTAATGTTTATATTGGAAAGTGTATATTATACTTTTAAGGGTTGTGCATTATTTGGTGCCAAGGCCTATGGCTGGTACAATAAACAATTCATTCAAAAAGAAAACAGATGATTTCAAGAGAAAAGGCAAGAAAGAACAACATGTGATACATAAATAACTAAACTTTATTTATGGCCCACCCTATCTCCCCAAGGGGATTCATCTGATGACATTTGAGACATTATACAATTTTAAACACAATAGAACAAAATGCCTGCCCTCCCCCCGTAATGGGATGAGGTAATGAACCTGGAAATTCAGAGAGACTGCATGGCTATTGTTTGCAGTGGGAT